CGTTAAATGCTGCACTAGAGCAACAGATGATAGTAAAGTTAAAACAAGCTGATTTTGAGCTGTATGTTGGTAGAACTGACAGGATTTGGAAATGTGAGAATCCACTTGGTGGCAATCCTGACCAATATCAGAATGCAACTTGGAATGTGATTGAGAAATTTCTTTGTTCAACTGTTGGACGTTCAGCAATAGCAGCATCTGAATGCAGGTAAACAATTTGTGCTGCATTGTTTTTAATGATATTCTCAGAGTTTTTTCTCATGTTTTGTCTGCCTTCCAGGTATGAAGCCGCTTTGATTCTTAGAAATGCATGCCTTAAAGACCTTACATTGGGTGAAGTACTTCAAATCCTGAATATGATTATCACTCTGAAGCGTTGGATTAAAACTCGCTCTGATTGGCATCCGATTACTATTACTCTTCCAGAAACTAATAATGATAAGGATACCAGAACGCGTAACTAGCCAAGAGATCTCTTTCAGTTTTTTAGCATGTCATAGCCATGCATGTTTTCAGAAATGGATTCGATATCTTGGAGTTACAGATTTTAAAAGAAGCTCAATTTTGTATAAGATGGTATGTTCAGTGCTTACTTGATGACGGCATAGGAGCGAGATCTTTCTTACTTTTGTGGACCTCTTTTCAAGACACTTGCAGCTGATAAAGTGGGCAGCTAAAGGGATGCGATTGTTATCATGCTTCTATCGACCTAGCTATGCTGATGGATCTCGTAATCTTTCATTACAGCAGCATGGTTGCTGCTATCTTCGATTTCTTTATCTTAAAATTTCCTTTTCGCTGGAAATTTTGTTTACATCAGAAAGTCTACTACTGCTTTCACATTACTAGGATTTGAAGCATCCAGGAATATGAAGAATGTATTTCGGTTACCCTGGTGAGTAGAGAACTGGCCAGAAGCACAAAGGTTTTGGGTTGCAGGTTGACAGGAATATTTTGTAGTCACTGTTCTTCTAGCTAGAGTATAAATATATAATAGTGGTTTAGAATACAGATCCAGTAACCTTGTTTTTTAAGCTTTGTCAAATGGAATATGTAGATTTACTTCACAGGCTTTTTTGATATCCTCGTCCTTTCGCCTATTCTTTTTGTTTCTTGGAGCTTATGACTATAAAGTACTTTTGTAGATAAGAGTATATGTAGCTTAACTTGGCAGGCACTTGCATTTGTTTTCATATAGTGCCTCCCCTTCCTCTATTTCTGTCTCATTTTTATACTAGTTAGTAGTTTGTTGGGGGTGATCATGTCTGTTGGATGGTATCTGTTTTCAGCCATCATCCTGGATAAACTACTGGGTTAAGATGTTTCTGTAAGTTATTTGTACTGAACTTATTTAAGGACTATTTCATTAATGTTATTCACCCGTGTAACACCGAATGCCCTCTCATGTATTTCACATGGCAAAAGAAAATTTACAATTTATGGTGAAGACAGGCGTTCTAACTTCTAGGAGTCGTCCTTGATCAAAGACCAAATGAATTAGTATTTCTTGTGTACATACATACAATGGACAAGGATGAAGCCTATGTTAACAACATCGAGGCCAGCAAGAGAAACAAGAAAACCAACTAGTCGCTCCCAGTTTAGGCAGTGACTCCGGTTGTTTTGACTCTGACTTCGAGTATGGCTGTGATTGTTGCGGTGATTGAGGCTGCATTTCTGGTTGTGAATCTGGTTCATACTTGGGTTGAGGTTGTGGCTGTTGCTGTGGCTGATGCCGATGCTGAGGCTGAGGTTGAGGTCTCTCCATTTTCGCAGAGGGAGCTTTGAGTGATCCAGTTTTCCCAGCATCGTTTAGTAGGCTGCAACAAACCAAAAGTGATTATAAACAATCCAACTGTATATCATGCATGGAACAAACTACTAGTAGAGCAGACTTCACCCAACAAAAACAAGAAGAAGATGATACTAAAACTTATACAAGTTTGTTTAAAGAAAGCTAGCATGTGTTATTTGATATTTTGACACTTTTTGATATCTATTCACAAAACCAGGAATGCTAACCCTTATACCTTGTAATACAATACAGAACCAAAATATATATGAATCATCAAGCAAGTAAACGCATGGACCTTGAAAGAGATTAACTTGTGGAGCATATCCAGTGTAATCCCACAAGTGGAAAAGCAAACCAGAACATAAAGAAGGGAAAACCATAGTGCATTGTATATGGTAGTTGCGAAAAGGAGATCTTACAGTGGAAAAGCAAAGGAGCTGCTGCTGTTTCCACTCTCATTGGAGAGGCGGGGCGAGGAAGCATAACTTGCCTCAAACTGAGGAACGGCTTTACCATCTGACTTGTTGAGTGTTGAGGCAGAATGTAGAAATTCATCTGACTTGTTGAGCGCAGAGGGAGAATGTTGAACTTCATCTACATTAGATGTCTTCTTCACTTTGATGTTATTTTCATGATTCTCCTCTGGGACTATTTTGGGAGATTCAACAATCTTTTCTTGCTTATGAGGACTCTCCATTTTAGTTTCACTCTTTACCTCTTTATCTGTTGCCATTTCGACAAGAGGAGGAAGGTTAGGAGGCAAGGTTTTCTTGTCATTGGATTTAACATCAGGTGCATTATACGGAGAATTACTCCATTCCTCTGGTTTTATAAGTTCTCCAGATCGATACATCATATTGAATTGATCTCGAGAGAAGCTGTTGTTTCCCATATGAATACTAAACAATGATTCATTTGAAGCAGTACTCCATTCCATACCACTGGTATTAGGCTTGCTTGAAAATATAGACGAGGGAATCCGATTAGGATCATAACCTGGAGGATGACCCATGGTATGCATTGGAGGAGACTTCATCGGTGCAGGGTTGGCTACATTCCATTCAGGATTCTGTGGGAAGAAATCAGGAAATTGTGGAGGTTCTTCACCACGCGGAGATGCACTTATCATACTCCATTGTGGTGTCTGATTAGGAACATGATCAGGAGAAGATGAAGATGCTGATAAAGAAGCATCCGCGTCTCCAAGAGGATCCTTTCCACTGTTACTTAGTTCTAGTGATGACTCGGATGAAGTAGGAGACGAAAGAGGTGATGAGGAAGGAGATAAACCGGATGTTTTCACTTTCATAAGTGGCTTGGTATCGTCATGTTTCGTCTCAGGTTGTTGCATTGAAGGCTTATTATTACCACTACTCCAGTTCTCCATTTTTCAATCAACAGAAATATTGTAGTTCGAGTAAATAGTTCTCCTGCAGAACAAGAACAATTCAACAAAATGCATAATAAACCACAAACGCTTCATATTAAAACAGAAACTTTGAATAATTTTTCACATTATTCTGCAAAGTTATAAACGCATAAAAATGACAAAAAACTTACACATTTTATATCTCTAAAATTCTTGGAGGAGATAGCAAACACAATTATATCCAGACTCGGAATCTGCTAAACAAAATAAAGCATCGATTCATGAGCAATTTAATCGTCCTTGTTAAACAATCCTCTCAACAACATCAATCTTAAGCTAGTTGGGGTCGATTATATGATTCGTGTATACATTCGGGAACCTGTTTCATTCCAATAACCCAATAAATAAAAAAAACGTTCAGTTTACAAATTCCGGTTTAATCAGAATTTCACGTTTTAATTCGAAAGAACAAAACAGAAGATCATGCTGATTATGAATTAAACACAGCAACACCAATTGAATTTACCTAAATTCCACCAATCATAAAAGCCAAATCTTGATTACTAGCTGTATCTTGTTTTGCTAATGATAATGATAATCCAAAGATATAAAAATATAATAATAATAAGATACAGCTACTTACCCCTCAAGATTATGGGGGTAAGAAAGAGAGAATAATTCCACGAATTCAATTTTTTTAATTTACTTGAGAGGATGATTAACTTGAATTTCAAAATGAAAAAAGATTTAGGGCTCAGAAAAAAAGTATTAAAAAACAAAGGAAAAAAATATATAAAAAAAGAGCGGTTTAAGGGTTTTATTTTAGGTAAATCATTGCTTCAGAAAGGAAGGCTAAGCGTCGATCTCGGTGATGTCTAATCAGTTTTTCCGTTTAACCAACCATTGGCGCCATTTTTATCCAACTCCAAAGATATTCTTGGTAATTGGGCCGGGTATGAATAATTGGGCCAATTGGTCATGTATCACCCAAGTTTTCCTAGGCCCTATACACTAAATTGGTCATAAAATTGCACTTTTGTCTTTCAAATGAGTTGATTTTAAATTTTAATCCTTCAAAAGTTGGTCTTCGATTTTTGTCCTTGAAAATTGTATTGCAGTATGTATTTTAGAAGTTGAAGTCGCACGCTCATTGCTCGAGCATAAACTTAAGAGATTTTATGATACGAAAATATAAACTTAGGCTCTACAAAATAAGTTGCGACAATCTTTAAGATGTGACATATTATGTGCAATACGCACTTGTGAAGAGATATTATGACATTAAATTAGCCGTATAATCTTTAAGATGTGTTAGGAATTTGTCCCGAGTTTCTTATCATAAATTAAAAAATCTTTTTATTTGGCTAATCCTTTTCTTATAGGAAAAGATTTAGGACGGTATAAATAGAAGTTTGTTCACATAGTAGCATTCACAATGTAGTCTTAGGGATTTTGAGAGTTTTGGTTAGGGGGGAATTTGAGGGACACAAGTGATAGTGAACCTTGTATTCCGAGTGAAGATTGTTTCTCTTTATATTTTGTACTCTCATATTTATACAGTGGATTGCTTATCTCCTTTGTAGACAAGTCCATTCACCAAACCACGTTAAATCTTTGTGTCTTTTGGTATATTTCTCGTTTGTCTTCTTCCTCATGGTCTTTTGAGGTTTGATTTGCTAGCTTCCGCATCACACCTAATTATTTCAATCCTAACAAAGGGGTTGTTTGCTATGATAGACGAATTTTCCAATAAATGTTGTGATTGCAGGATGATTTATAAAGGTGAAATCTACATCAAAACAAGTTATACATGATCCCTACAAGACTTGGTAGATCAAGTCTGGTGAAAGATATAAAGTATAGAAATAACAATACTGTTACCCCTTTTACATTTGGAAGTTGAGATATAAAAGGAAAAATAAGCATAAACCCCCACTAGAAGTAGTTTATTGAAGTCACAATAAATAACATGATCAACAATTCAAAGTTTGACAAAGACCAGACTCCTGAACCATATGTTGATGAAGAGGTCGATTTTTGGAGGGCGGCAACAGTGTGCTGGCCTTTCTACTTCTACCAATTAAAAGCCTCTTCGAAACAGGAGACATCATTTGATCAGTTGGACTTGTGTACCTGTACAAAACCAATTACTTTCTGTAACAATTCTTATGCCTGAATCAACCAGAAGTTTTACGATTTCAATTGTCCAAATATAGTTCAAACAGAGGAGAGAAAAAAAGTAATTACTATACCTTTCAGGATATTTAAATGGCTTGGGGACCTTAAGTCGATCAGGTGTGGTGTTGATTGGAGAATTGGGAAGAACAATTGTAGGTCGATTTAATGGCGGTGTTTTTGGTTCTGCTGCAACAACAATCTTTTCAGTAGCTTCATTCATCGGAGCTTTTGGTGCAAGTGTTTCCTGAAGGGATTCATTAATGGGAGATTTTGGTACAATAACCGATTCTGCAATTCCCTCCATTGATGAAACTATTTGTAATAGCAGAGAAATTTCAGGGAGAGATAGACAGAACAATTGAATTAAGAAGAAAGTGGGAGTGAATTTTTAATTTATATATTCAGAAAGACGACCGTTCAGCAATAAGGGTTTCAACGGTCGAATTTTTGGGCTGGGTCAAGTGGAGACAAACAAACGCAATTTTGCTTCTTTTTTTTTTTAGAGTAGTTGATTAAAATAAAAAGAAGATAATTAGACTACTCTAGAATGTCTTTTTATATCCAACGGGAAAATAGTTCTTTTCTTCTTCATTTTTTTTTTAAAAGAATTCTTTTTTGTTTGGAAATTTTTTATGTAGGACTCCTACTTCTAATTTCTACTTCACGTGTGATTTAGTAATCAATGAAGTAAGTGTAATAAAAAATATTAGAGTTCGAATCTTATAGAGATAAAAAAAAATATATGAGTATGTAATTTCTCAAATCCGTCTAAGCTTAAATGTTTAAAATTATTTGATAACTAGTGTACTTGTCCGCGCTTCACCCGATTTAAAAAAAATATAATATATAAATTAGTATTAATTAATATTATGTTTTATAAAAGATAATAATTATAATGAAATGACTCTTCATGATTTTACTATATTTTTCATGATCTTTTAAATAATAGATATAAATCTTTTGTTGAATAAATATATGTGAGACATTAATCCCGTATATGAAATTATTTATTCAAGTTAATGTATAATATTAAGTTAAATAACGTATCGGGAAAAAAGTAATGAAGAAGAGAAAAAAATATTCAAATTTGGTAATGTGTATATCTAAGAGACAATCTAAGAGCATGTTTGGCATGACCATTGGGAGGCCTATTTTTTTTATTTTTTTTGTGAAAAACACTTTTAAAAATAAATATCAGTGTTTGACAAATTCTTAAAACTGTCTTAATGAAAGTAGTAGCAGTTTTTCTGCTGTTGAGAAAAATCTAAAAAAATTTGCTTCTTGCAAAAAACAAAAGCAGAAGCATAATATTATTTTCTTGAAAACTAAAATATCTCTTTCATATATACATATTTACTAATATATCCCTTATTAATTACTCAATTAACATATCTCATAAGTTTGGTTAAGCTTCATTCAAAAAAAATTATTTTTGTTTTTATATAATATTTTATTTATTTATTTATGTTTATCAATTATTATTACTTTACATTTTATATATTATTTTACGTTTTATTTTACAGAATCATAAATAAATGTAATAACAACATTTTTGTAGGATTAAAAATATGAAGGACTTTATTTTTTTTGTGGTGAATTATTCATATATAGTGGTTTAATTTGTGAAATGGGTTTAAAGTATTTTTCTTGACACTTTGAATTATATTAAAGTCATCATGTTAATATTTAATTAATTATTTTATGTATAATATTGATTGAAAATTTGAATATGTATAATTTAATTTAATTAAGAAAAAAAATTAATTAAAAATTTTCTAATAAATATTTAAAATAGTTTCTTTCTATAAAATAATTTTAATATTAAAAGTACATTGATACTTGTCGTTTTTCGTAATTTGACTCTCAAAGGAACTTTTTTTTTTAAATTAGTCAAACACGATTTGCTTATCAAAAACAGTTTTCAAATGAATTAGAAAGATAAATTTTTTTCAAAAGCACTTTTTAAAAAGTCATTTTAAAAATAATGTCAAATAGACTCTAACTTTATTTCATCTTTTATAAACAGTCTAATATGATTTTAAGATGTAAAAAAAAAAGAATTAGAATATTGAAAATGTAAATATACCTTAATTACCAGTTAACATGTGGAATGAGAAGTTGCCATAGTAATGAAATTATGAAATACTTAATGAATTTAGATATTATTATTTTTTGAACTTTTGATTAAGAACTTTTAGGAGTACTAAGTAAGGATAAAGTTAAAACAATTAAAATCTCATAATTTGTATTTATAGCTATTAATGACTATCATACAAATTTCCAATTAAATTTTAAGTCGCATATAATATTAAGAAGTAGTATATGAATTTATGAAAATTGTCTTTCAAGCGAAAATCAAACTTCTAAAATGTAAAAATAATAAAAATAAATGATATTTTCAATTAATTTTGTAGACATTTTGTTTTGACGTTTATGTTCTTGCATATAATTCATAACATCTCTAATAACATCTATCTAAATAAAATAAATAGTTATTTAGCTAGGTAAAATAATGAACACAGAGGAGATCATGCCATAGTGAAATATATATATAAATATACTCAAAAATATAATTATTAAAAAATCTATTTTGGACAATCAGAAAGAGATAAAAGGAAATAACATATGAAAGCATACTCGAAAAATAGGAATAAGAACACACATATACAGGGGGCAAAGATAGAATATCAAGAGGCAGAGGCATAAATTATTAGTGATTAGTTATTTTAAAAAAATTGATGCACATTAATAATCTTCCTTGGATTGATGCTACAGATCAACTTTTCACTTCTTCTTTAGGAGTTGTTGCACAAAGATGAGCAAACTTATAGAGAGGAATTTTCTTGTGAATTGACTCTTGTCAAAGAAATATTTAATTTATTAAACTAATTAGTTGATAATTTTTTTTATAATTAAATTAATTTGATGTGAATTATATAATGTTAATTAATATATTGTTAAGAATAAAAGATATGGAGAATGAAGATGAATTTTTAAAACAAAATAATTAAAAAAAAGGATCAATAAATGTTTTAGGCAAAAAAAAAGTGTTGCATTACTTTTCTTTTATACATTTTATATTATATATAGATTATTTGCAGATGAAAGAAATGCCAACAGTTTATGAGGATGTGATTTGTTTTGGGAACATGTACAAAATCAACCAAAATTCAATATGAAATTAATATAATTATTTTGGAAATTACAATAGAAAATTTAACCCTTAAAAGACAATATTATTACATTTAAATCTACATTTATACTTATGTACAAACTTGTAACAAATAATAAGAGTAACAAAATTTGATATATTGTTGTTAATGACTATTTTTAAGCTTTCATTTGGACAAATACTTTTCACCAGTAAAGCCATATGTCATCTTCGTTGTTTCCTAATAACAAAAAATTGCATCAGAATAGTACATAAAATCAATAATTGTGCCAAAATCAAAACAAATGACACATTTTTTTTTTTCTGGAAAAAGAGTTTCAAATGAAAAAGAGCAAATTAACACTAATGAAAGCTATGGAATGAAAGGAAGAATGTTATAGATCGAAAATAATTTTCTTTAGTATTTATAGTAATAAAAAAAACAGTAACATAACGTAAGAGAAATCTAACGAATTTGAATATAATTATAAGAAATGAATATTAAGTACATTAATAGTGCTTAACTGAATTTGTACGGTAAACAGGTTTAAATTGGTATTAAAGTGCCTCAACGTGGGCTGCATGCATTCATTTGGACTTTTTATGAAATCCCATATTTATAATTGGGTGTTATGAAGTTTTTATTAATAGTCCTTTAATTAATTAATAGAAGAAATCAACTAAAAAATGATAATAAAGATAAATCCAAAAGTTGACCATAGAGAGGTATCACGTCACCATTTTTATATCCAGCTTTATATTAATATGTAGATAGTCGCTCTGACACTAGTGCGATTTAAAATCACATTGTAATCAAACCGCTAAGTTGATTTGTTGATTATTGATTATTAGATTATCAAATTAATGGTTGGTATGTCACTGATCAATAGCCATCTAATTACCTCTCCATTCATATTGAAGTGACATATCTCATTAGTGAATTAGTATATTTAAAGATAAAAAATTGATTCATTAAATCTTTAAGCGCAAATATTCAAATGGATAACCCAATAAGCATCTCTACCTGACACCATAGTTATTAAAAAAAGAAATCTAATTTACTTGTGGCATTCTTCGTAAGACCAATAGTAGAGTTGTGAATCACATTTTTTTTTGGGTAGTAAGAAAGTCTTTTTTTAAAAAAAAATTATAAAAAAATGAATATTTTTTTTACATTTTTTTTGGGATAGGGGGTGGGGGGTTGGTAGGGGGTAGGGG